TAGCACTTTCTCTACAAGCTCTCTTCATTCGATCTGCCATGTCCATACGAGAGAGGTAAGAAATTTATCATTTCTTAATTAAATTAAAATTTAATCTATATGTCTTTTTTTAGCTAATTAGTTCTTAATTACTAATAAAGTAAACTTATTATTACATTCTTTATTAGCTTCTTCCGATCTATTTAATTATTTTATGATTAATTTACAAAGAAAAATGAATATATGTATTATATTGTGTGCTAGGTCCATGTAGATGCTAAAATGCAAATGACACCATGTTTAACAATATTATAATACGTGCTTATTGTACGCGTTTTTGTTGCTTGCTTTGAAATATGTAGGAAAATTTCAAAGAAATTTAAGAACTATAATAAAATTAAACATTGTTGGTTGTTGTTTATTTTTATATTAATTGAAAGATAAATAATTGAAGTTGTTTGTCTACGTACTATTAATATATATATTGTTGATAAGAAAGTAATCACGAGGTTATGAAAGTTCCTTAAATTAATTAATTTCATTTACTATGTGAGGTGAAGATCTAATATTTAATAGCATTTATATGTTTAGATTTCAAAATGAGCAATAATAGGTCTTGGATGTATGAATGATTCGAAAATCGAGGCTTTCTAAATGAAGACTTCAAAAAAGGAGTTAATGAGTTTATTCAAAAGGCGGTAAACTTATATCCAAGTGGGGTTATTGCATGTCCGTGTAGAAAGTGCAAGAATAGAAAATTGTTCACTTGGGATATTGTTAAACAACATCTATTTGAAAAAGGATTTGTTGAAGACTACTATGTAAGGGGAGCGCACGGAGAGACATATAATTCAAATGGGCTGGTTTATTTGGATGAAGGTAGCTCTTCCCATCATAATACATTTGAAGTTCCATATGACCCATATAAATCGATGTTTGAAGATGCTGTTAGGAATGAATTTCCTATCGGCCCGCCTGATGCTATGCATGTGGATGATGAGGAGCCTAATCCAATGACAAAGAGCATGTATGAAATGCTTGCTGCGACAAGTCAGCCATGTTTTGATGGTTGTCCAATGACGGAGTTGAGTGCCATGACTGAATGGTTGAACTTAAAGACAGAGATGAATTTATCAGAGGCTGCCACTGACAGAATTGCTCAACTTATGAATAGGTTTTTCCCAACACATATCTCCAATCGGCCCATCCAGAATTTCAAGAAAATTAAAAGGAAGCTCTCACTATTAGGAATGACCCATCAATCTATTGATTGTTGTCCAAAAGGGTGCATGATCTATTAGAAAGCAGACAGTGAACTAATTGAGTGCAAATTTTGCTCTAGTGCAAGGTACGAGATCAATAACCAGTCAAGTAAACCAATCCCGCTTTCCAGGATGGAGTATTTTCCGATTACTCCAAGGCTACAGAGGCTTTATGCCTCAAATACAACTGCTGGGGATATGAGATGGCATAAAAGTCACCACAGAGAAGAAGGAGTGATGCGACATCCATCAGATGGAAAGGCATGGATTCATTTTGACAATCTTTATCCATCATTTGCCGAGGACCCTAGAAATGTTAGACTCGGGCTATGCTCAGATGGGTTTCAACCATTTGGACAATTTGGACAGAAGTATTCATGTTGGCCTATTATCGTGACACCATACAACCTGCCTCCAGGTATATGTATGAAACAACAATTCCTGTTCTTATCCTTATTGATTCCAGGACCAAAGAATCCCACAAATAGGATAGATGTTTATTTGCAACCTTTGATAGAAGAGTTGAAGCAATTCTGGTTTGGATGTTTATTATAGGTGGTATGCAACTTTGGTTATGCCCTCTAACCAAATGATTATTCCTGGAGCTGTTCTGCATAATGTCCTTTAATTCTAAAATTGGGAGCAAATGATTGTTTGGAGATATTATGTATTGTATTTTGCACTCAATAACATTATTTTTTTGCATGTTTTAGAATATGATTCCTATTAGAGGTCATGGTGTCACCGGGATGAACAAGAAAGCAGACCGCTTATCGCAAGAGAAACATCAGGTAGTTCGGGTCGCTCAAGACCATCTCCACCCTTCACTATGCCGGGCAGAAACTCTACCCCCCACTCAACACCATCTCTTAGCCACTCAAAAAAGCATCAACCCTTGTCTAGTAAGGGCAGAAATATTACCCCCCAAGTAGGACAGACACGACAACCTCCACAACCACCCCCGTCCCAATATCATAATACTCGGGGTCCTAGCCCAAATATCACAACAGTCACTAACCGGCAACCCACCATTTCACCAACTCAAGGCCCTAATAAAGACCATTCTTTGCTCTCCAATCAAGAGAGTCCGTCAACAACAATGAGAAGCAATGAACTAGAAGATAGTGACCCAACAACTCATTCCAATGGAGAAGACGAGCTAGCTGAATGGAATCCTGATGCATACAAAGATCTCGAGTGGGGTGAAGAACCTTTGGACCACTTCAGATCTTTAGCTATAGCAAAATTTGAAAGACCCAATGTTGGGTTAAATGCATCTAGAGTGTGAGTTAAATATAAAATGGTACTAAATTATACATTCTATCTTTTGATAATAAAGCATTAATGATAATAAATCAAAATGTTAATTTCATTGCAGACTTATAAATATTGTTTCCAACAAAACAAGTTTGCGATTTCCAACAATTGTTTCAAGACAGATAAAGTACAATCTGCATCCGGCTGTGCAACAATGGAAGTGGGTACCCGAGAAGACAAAGGATTTATATTGGGAGCAATTCCAGGTTTGATCATTTGAGTTAAAACCAAATATTTTCCTTTCAAATATCAATTAAGTTGTCTTTAACTTTCAAAAACTGTAACTAATTGTCTTTGACCTATACGATTTGCAAGTTTTTTGGATTATTGATTTTTATAATACTAAACCAAAGTCCATAATGATATCCAATTTAGCATTACATGCATAACATTTTTATACTAATTTATTAACTATTATAATATAAATACTCTATAAGTAAAAGTAAAAGTAACTTTTACTTTTAAACTCTCAACTTTGAGTATTAATATAATTCTCTTTGACATATAGGATTTAGTAAACTGGGATATATCCAAGTTCAGTGATGAAGACATTAGGAAGGGTTACGAAAATTATCTTAAGCAACGTGCTTATTCCAATATAATGTCTAAAATCAGGTGAGTAAAATAATTATTATTTCGTTTTATATTTCAATTTAACTTCTATGAAAAGTGTATATTTTAAATGTTCATATAACACTTTTGAATATTCAAGGGCTTGTCGGCCTCTAACTGTGAACGACTTCACTTGGGGGGTTGTGGAAGAGTTTCGTGGGTGTATTACATTTTAAAGATTGTCTGATTCTGGGAAAAAGAATCGGAATGCTGGTGGAGATAGATGCAAACAGTATGGAGGATCTCGGTCTGCAGCAGATTTGGCAGCACAAGAGGTTTATTTCTAAAATTTATAATCTGTTTTTTATTGTACTTTCTTCACCTATTTCAAATTCAACTATTATTTTTGTAGTCAAGTGTTTCAGGAGAGGAAGTTAACCCTGTCAAAATCTGTGTAACTTATCATCCAAGAAAGAGAAAGAATGGAGAACTAATTGACTATGGCTCACAATCAGAAGTCATGGTGTGTTATTGTTTCTCTACTCTAAGTCTTAACAAATCATAATAATTATTCAATTATGTAATTTGATCTGCTGAGTATATTTTGAATTTTCAAAATTATTCCTGAAGTTATCTTCTCTTTGCTAGTATATTTTCTCACATGTGCTTTGTTTTCTATTGCAAGCATCCCCCATGATTTGTGATTGTGATTATCTCTTCTGAATTTTGAAATGTAATTTTCCAGAAGCTCAAGTCTTTATTCTAGGTTAGCATTACAAAACATTACAGCAGGTTAGCATTACAAAGCATTACAGTAAGTTTTAGTACACTGGTTTCAAATTTCAGGTTTTGAAATTTCAGAATTAATAATACAGTAACTTTCAGATTTTCAAGTATCATTCATTCATTTCAAAGCCCAGATTTCAGATTTCCCAATTAGGTTACTACTGTAAGTCTGCAAGTCAATTACAGTAGGTTAGCATTACAAAGCATTACAGTAGGTTAGTATTACAAAGCATTACAGTAGGTTTTAGTACACTAGTTTTCAAATTTCAGGTTTTGAAATTTCAGAACTAATAATACTTAAAAATTCAGAACTAATAACAGTAGGTCTTAGATTTTCAAGTATCATTTATTAATTTCAAAGCCTAGATTTCAATTGCAAGCATCCCCCATGAGTCTTTACTGTTAATACTTGTGTATTACTTAATACTTATATTCCCTCCTTATATGCATTGAATTGTATTAATCTTTTTATCAATTTGCTTAAATGTTATAAGAGTTCGTTTTCTTTAAAATATATTTTATGTGTACAGGAGGCTATTTTGAAGTTGTCTGATGAATTTAATGAGCACATTCAGCAAACTAAACAATCTGAAGCTCAAATTGGGGGCTCCAAGAATGCATCTAAAGCTGTAGTTGCTGAATTTAATTCCAAATATTTGGAAATCGCTGGAGGAAGAAACAAAAAAGTATTCGGATTAGGAAAGTATGCGAAAGCTTTCCTTCAACAATTGGAATCAAAATACCGAAAAGCTTCAGCATCTTCACAACGTGCACATGAATTTTGTGTCTATTGGGATGAACGCATGCGGAAGTGGTTATCTTCACAAGGCGAGGAATGCCCACCGGTAATGCCACTCGTGGATGAACGCTTGCTAGATGAAGATCCTTGTTCACTCCCAAAAACTTTTGAGCAAACATGGCTTCCATTTCTGAAAACACTTGGAATGGATGCACCAAGTTTTTTCCATTTTACTCCATCATCCTATCAAGATTCTCAAAACACTTGAGTATTTGTTATTTCCAATTATATATCCAACTAGTATCCATATTATGAATTTAGTTGTATTTTTGGATTGTGGTATGGCTTTACTTATGGTACTCACAATGAATGTTGGTTGTTAAAGTGTGTTTCTATAAAAGTTAAGTTTTTGTGGCTACATAACCATATATATATATATATATATATATATATATATATATATATATATATATATATATATATATATATATATATATATATATATATATATATATATATATATATATATATATATATATATATATATATATATATATATATATATATATAGGTTTTGGTTCAAATAAGAACATGATCTTATGAGAAAAATGAGAATGAATCTGGACCGTTAGATTTGCTTTAAGTGAAATTCAATGTGCATTAGATGAAATTGTAATGTGTATTAGGTGAAATTGAAATGTGCATCACAAATGGTACAATGTAGTGGCATTATGTGAAGCTAAATTGTGCATTAGGTGAATTTGAAATGTGCACTAGATGAAACTAAAATGTGCAGAATAAAAGGTACAATGTGATGTTATTTTTGTACCTTTTATTCTGCACATTTCAGTTTCACCTAATGCACACATGAGTTTAAATTTTAATTCTGCACATTTCAATATCATCTAATGCACATTTCGGTTTCACCAAATGCACAATTCAGTTCCACATAATTCAATTCAACGGTCCAGATTCGTTCTCATTTCTTTCCTAAGATCCGTTCTTACTGGAACCGCTCCCTATATATATATATATATATATATATATATATATATATATATATATATATTTAATTATGCACTTTGTACATTATTGAGATACAATCACATGCGTGGAGTACTCTATTATTTTTTTTTAAATTAATGCCATATAAATATACAATTGGAGCAAACTGAATGTTTTATTTTTATAAATATAATTAATTTAGTGACGATATTTAGTGACGAAATATCTGTCACGATTTACAGCGACGGAATTCATAGCTGCAAAATTCCGACATAGATTTGCGACTGAAGTGAAATTCTGTCACTAAGGCATTTAGCCGCGCGATTTCTGTGGCAGAATTTCCGTCATTAATACGCGTCTCTAACGTTGTTAATGACAGATTTAGTGACAAAATTTCTGCCACTAAAAAACGTAAATTCTTGTAGTGAGTGTAAAAGTCAAACTATTACAATTGACAAAGAACGGATATAGTATACACTAAAAAGCTAACAAAGCTGTTATTGATTAATTAGATCTAGTTGACATATCATATTAATAAATTGTAGGAGTATTTGTCCAACACCAATCAACTATAAGATATGAAACCAACATATAAGATCTTGAACTACTATTTTCGGTATTGCATAACCTTTTAGATTGATATGTAAGTCATCAAATGCCCAAATGTCACATTTATCTATCTTGTCTTCAGTTGTCTTGATGGATTTGGGTTTAATATATGAGTTACTATATCAGATTCCAAAAAAAAGTTACGATATGAGTATATTTGTTTTATTTTACTTTCCTGAAGTGATTTATTTTAAAAAAACTGGAATATGTGAAATAGAAAAAGCTGATACTGTTTGAAAACAAGGAATTTGGAAATGTAAACTTTTTTAATAGAAAAATTAAAACAATTGTCAAACACCCCTCTACTAGCTCCCAACTTATTCATTTATATCGCCAAAAAAAACTGATATTGTTTGAAAACAAGAAATTTACCAGTGGGCGTAGCTCAACTGGTAGCAAGGGAGTGCCACAAGCGTTAGGTCCCGGGTTCGAATCACGACAACTGCGATGAGGGGTTACTATGCTAAAAATGCATAGGGTCTCTGCAAGTACCGGAAACAGAGTCTCACTCTCTATCTGTCAGATTGGGATTATAGTCCAATTTACATCCTCCCAACGTACCGTCCGGTCGGGGTTGGGGGGCCCTCTGGGATGGGGTGTCATCCTTTATTCCATTTATATCGCTCAATTAAAGTAGCAATACATGTTTGAAGATATTACTTTTAACACTTTTAAAACTAAAAGTAGAGAATCATTTTTTAAGCAATACGGAGTATAAAACACTACTTATATCAAATTGATAGTCCTCCCTCCCTTGGAGAACTTCATGTATTCCTTTTTTTTGACGTTTCAATTCTACATAAACTTCTCTTTTCTTATTTGGTAAATATGTTTTAATCAATTTACTCTACTATATCCTAAAGTAATTAATAATGATTGTATATTTCAAACAATGTTAATATAATTTACTAAACACTACTCCATGGTACTATATTATTTATCAAGTCAATGGCATTTCATGGAGAGAAAAACGTATATGTAGATTTTCTTATGGTGAGTACTATTCAAATTAAGATTTTCTTTAAGAAATGGAGAAAGTATATATAGCTTACGTACAATGAAACCTTCGAAGATTCTATATGCATTTTTCTCTCTATCATATTGGGTATTGTGATCAAGAACATGTATAGTTTGAATGTTGAATTTTGCAGGGCTCTTGAATAGGACTTCAATTATTTTGGAACATAGGGTAAGAGAAACTCCTTGCCGCCACCTTTTATGCTATACATATTCATACCCATATTAAACACCTCGGGCGGGCATTATGACATCTTCTTGTGATTATTTAGAGAAAAAATAATTTTAAAAAAATATTATTCATTATTTCATTCGTTAGTAGGGTATCAAATAATTCAAATGCATCAATATATATAATTTCAATAGTTGATGCATCTTTTATGCAAAGATTTGCAAGTGATAAATTTAAAAATAATAAACATACAAATAATAATATACTTTGTCCGTTCTTAAATAAGTGCAACAGTCAACATTTCACACTTGACGAGGCACAACTTTGACCGTTAATATATATAATTCTCTATTAGTAAAAAATTTTAAAAAATAAATTTTTGAAAATTTACTATGAGACAAACTAAATAATATTTTTTCAAAAATATATATTAATACATCAATAAATAAAATGTAGTCAAAATAGAACATGTGAATAATGTAAAATCTAACATGTTGCACTTATTTAAGAACGGAGGTAATATATAATAGGCAAAATTTTCAATTAGGACATAAGTGTAAACAAGGATCCTGACTTCATACGAAATGTCTTTGTAACCACCGATTAAGTGCACCTGCATATGAATCATGTTCTTACCGTGTTAGCTACATTAATAAGAAACTTTTAATCGAGAAAGCTAAATTGTTTCCTAGCTTAATCAGGATGTTAAAAGCAAACAATGACATATACTCTCACACCGTTAAGAATCTGTTTCGAGATTTCATGCTAAAAATGTGATATAGTGATTTACGTAGTATTAGTTTATATCAATCCAATAGACATAAATGCATCAACATGTCCAAGAGTCCCAACCGGATTGACTATATTAGGACGTATAAATTAGCCAAACAAATCCTTAACGGCTACTCTTAATCGGTAGTGCTAAATTAAAATTAGAGTTTGAATGTTGAATTTTGCAGGGCTCTTGAATAGGACTTCAATTATTTTGGAACATAGGGTAAGAGAAACTCCTTGCCGCCACCTTTTATGCTACACATATTCATACCCATATTAAACACCTCAGGCGGGCATTATGACATCTTTTGTGATTATTTAGAGAAAAAATAATTTTAAAAAAATATTAAAAAAAATAATAAACATACAAATAATAATATAGTTCCTCCGTTCTTAAATAAGTGCAACAGTCAACATTTCACACTTGACGAGGCACAACTTTGACCGTTAATATATATAATTCTCTTTTAGTAAAAAATTTTAAAAAATAAATTTTTGAAAATTTATTATGAGACAAACTAAATAATATTTTTTTCAAAAATATATATTAATAGATGAATAAATAAAATGTAGTCAAAATAGAACATGTGAATAGTGTAAAATCTAACATGTTGCACTTATTTAAGAACGAAGGTAGTATATAATAGACAAAATTTTCAATCAGGACATGCATAAGTGTAAACAACTCTGGTCGGATCCTGACTTCATACGAAATGTCTTTGTAACCACCGATTAAGTGCACCTGCATATGAATCATGTTCTTACCGTGTTAGCTACATTAATTAGAAACTTTTAATCGAGAAAGCTAAATTGTTTCCTAGCTTAATCAGGATGTTAAAAGCAAATAGTGACATAAACTCTCACACCGTTAAGAATCTGTTTCGAGATTTCATGCTAAAAATGTGATACAGTGATTTACGTAGTATTATTTTATATCAATCCAATAGACATAAATGCATCAACATGTCCCAGCGCAGTTTATACATACCCTGCAACCGGCGCACCATGAGGATGGTGCGCCCGGTTGCAAAACGACGCAGTTTATACATATTTTTTATTTCTTTTATTGTTAGAAATTGTAATAACTTTTTTATTTGATATCCGATTTTTATAAATTTTATATCAATTTTTTTTATTTTTCATGATCTATCAAATGAGACCAATATTGCTTATGTAATTTTAACAAATTATTTTGAAGTTACATTTGATAATATATCATGAAGTTACATCTTCTTCTGCGCGAGTTATATCTTATTGTACGCGAGTTACATCTTAATATACGCGAGTTACATCTTAATGTATGTGAGTTACACCATGAAATAAACCCCTACTATATCTTTCATTTTTATCATTTTGAAAAATAGTGTATGAATATGAAATACAATATACTTATTTTATGTGGATTAATAAAATTTTGTATTAAATTGGTAAAGAAAAAAATTAATTCAGTTATAATTGAATTAGTTCAAGATAAAGATAAGTAAAAAATCACAAATAATTAGATATAACTCACACATAATTACATATAACTCGTGCATAAAAATATGTAACTCGTGTATAATAAGATGTAACTCACACATAACAAGATGTAACTCACACATAATTGCATGTAACTCGCGCATAAAAGTATGTAACTCGTGTATAAAAAGATGTAACTCACACATAACAAAATCTAACTCACACATAATAACTTGTAACTGGAGTATAAGATGATGTAACTTCGTATATTATCAAATGTAACTCCAAGCTAGAAGCAAAATAAACAAACTCAATATCTTGAAAACCTATAAAAACATATAAAAGTGATAAAAAAATATATTATAGAAAA